CCATCATCATCGTCATTATTAATACTATTATCATTATTATTATTATTACCAATACTAGAATATTTAAAAGAACATTGTACATGCACTACAGTAGTTAAAAAAAAAAATGTCACATGGCCTCTAATTGTTGCTTTTTGTATGTGAAATGTGCTTTAGCTAAGAATGAAAGTCCTCTTTCTTCTTATTGATGTTTACTTTATTTTTGGTAATTTTATTATAATCCAATAAATATAGGATATAATATATAAAAGAAACTATTGAATATATAGAGACGTATATTGATTATTGATTAAAATTAGAATTAAAAGAATGCGATCACACGAGAGCAGCTATTATTACGTTTACGTAGTGTGTGAAGTGTTATTATTACAAGAAACATAAGGAGTTCGTTAATTTCTCCGAGAACAAATTTAATGGTTTTTATTTACTCTATTAAGTTAGTATATTCAATATAATGTACAGGTTGTCTGCAAAAGTGTCGTGAGCAAATATATCAGGTACAAAAATTAAAAAGGTACAAAATATAGAATACTTACAATACATGTGCGTGTAAAGTTCGTAAAAATCTATATGATACTGTCGAAATAATAACCTTTCAGCCTACGGAAAAAAAAAAATCGAATTGCGATTATTCTTTGAAGTTGGCTTCTAAAATTTTGATGAGTGCCATTTTTAGCAAAAAAGAAACGGAAAGTTCAAATTTGATTTAATGAACAAATTCATAGGTCTTCGATTTATATTTGTCAGGGTCTTTTTTGCCGATTATCCTGTACAAATGACTTGGACGTCAAATAATTCTTACATACTTATATATATATATATATATAAATACATACATAAATATATAAGCGCCTACAAAAAAAAAAAATGTATTTTAAATGAAAGAAAACAATAATTTATTGTAAAGATACTGCAAAGTATAAAAGAAAAGACATATGTAATATATTAAAATGTCAGTAATCATAAATCACTTATGTATTAAATTATATATTTGCCAAGTTAAGCATCCGACGTCCAAGTCAATATATATGCAGTATATGAATTAAGTTTCCATGTACGTTTTTAATCGTAAATTTTATCTTCTATATTTTCAAAGTATATCCAAATCACGTCTATTGAGATTCGAATTTCTAGTTGGCTGAAACTCATAGAAACTAATGTAAACTTCCAATACTTTTGTACGTATTACTGGTGGTTTGATACTTTTAATATATTTTGATACTTCTTTTGTTTATTTCACTTGTTACATACATATATATATATATATAAAGTTTTTTTGTATTCATAATAGAAAACGGTAAGCTTGTAACATGAAGCATTCGTGTGTTGGATCTGATTTTCTTTTTTTTTATGATTATATATTACAACAATTTTATTTGTACCGTCGAAGAAACACCGTATTAGCGTAGTGAGCACAGATTTATATTTAAAAGAAAAAAAAAAAAGATATGATATATACAAGACTTTCTACAAAACCGTGTTCATTTTACAACGACATGACAGCACATGTTATACTTATGAAATTACGATAAAAGTAGAAAAACAGAGAGGATACGTTCGTTCGAATATGTGCGGGTTTATCGTGCTAATTTTTGATTGTACATTATCTCATTACTATTAAGATACCAATACGTTTCCCGATGGAAAGATGCATAAAAGTGTATATGTTCAAAGGGTTATATATACGTTGTTATGCATTCTTCCAACGGTGTGTCACCGTTTCAATATTTTTTCTACGGAGTAGAATTTTCAGAGTTTAGCAATCTGGTTAAAGGTTCTTTCATCTGCTCGTATAGTGCAACAGAGATTGAGAATATGTATCACATATTACGTTGAAAATGTTATGTAAAATTTGAAAGCGATTCCGCCTTGTATTCGACTGTTCGCCAGCGACTAATGATAACACGCATTCCAATGCCTGTGTAACATCTCCCATGTCAATGAAGAAAAGAATAAATTACGAATAATAAGTAAATAAATCAAAATCCTGAAACAACCAACGCAGATGTGATCATCTAGGATCATTGATCATTCTTTGACTACCGAATGTCTCGTCTCGTTTCCCGCCATCCGAACCAGCATTTTTCACCGAGAGAAAAAAAAAAAAGAAAAAAGAAATGGACCAGGCCGGAGCAATAATGCTGTTCTATTCAATTTGTCAGAATGTTCAATGCCTTCTACTAAAGATCGGCAAAAGATGGGATGAAGAAGCAATGACTCGGACCCCCTACGGTTTCCTCAGAGACCTTGTTGCATCGTCCTCGAAGCAGCCTGTGGCCTGTATTGTATGAGAACGCATTCAGTCTGCCAGGCAAAGGCTGTACGGACAGAAGTCGAACGAGATGTGACCGATAATGTAATTATGCGGGACAGGTTTTTTGTGCCGGTACTCTAACTTGATCTCTCGAGAGTCCTTCTCTCTTCCTTTTTTTCTACTTGTGCCCCCTTTCTCTCTTTCTTCCATCCTCTCCTTCGCCAACATTTCCTTCTTCCGTCTCTTTCCTACGTATCTTCGTCCCTGTTCTGTTTTATTTATTTTATCCAACTCCCCTGTACCTTGTCCTCTCAGCATTTCCTTTCAGAGTTTTCCCACTTTCAGCCAGTTCCTTTCCTGCTAGCTAACTCCGTATTTCGATATTCCCCGCTCCGTAGAAAGAAATACACGTATTTGTACGGTGCTCGCCTAGCGAGAAGAGAGCACGATGAAAAAGGACGAAAGCAGAAGGCGGACCGACGACGCAGAAACGTAGCACGATCTGGCCGCTGCTGTCAGCTACATGCATCGATGTTAGCGCCTGACTGCCTGCCGTGTGTTCATGTAAGATCCGAAGTCGTATGCGTTTGTGTCTTCCTGCGGAAGAAGAGGAGGTAAAGTCGATGCATAAGAAAGAGAAGGATCGTATATACGAGTTGCAACATTGATCGGATATCACACAGATATATATATATATACAAAGATATATAAATTACGTTATATTCGATCAACATGGCGCAAAATATTGCAACTAATGAGAAAAAAAAAAA